GGTTACTCATGTCTTAACTTCATTAATTCAGTGGAATTTGTCCAGCAGTATAAATGGGGAGAGAATTAGACCCAATGTTTTCGAGTGAGAGAGTTTCACGATGAGATTCCTTGCATTGTATGTCTGCTCCTATCCAAACAATATGTGATACAGGTATACAATGGCCTTTAACTTCCTGAATGCTTATGTAGTATGTTTTTCATCAAACAGTTTGGATTAAACACATGGATTATGCTTTCTAAAAACAGATCTCCATTATAAGCATGAACAATACCTGAGAACCTCAGGAAATCTTTTAGGTCTCAGATTTGTAATGGAAAAATAAACATTGTACTATGTTTCCTTTCAGATAGGGCTTTTCAATTTGTTTAGCTTTAATGGGTTTTAAACTTTCCAACCATGCTTCCTCTCAGGATAGAGCACTTGGGATTCAATCTGTCTCTATTTTCTAAGTGTTTCCTTCTGAGTCCCTGTGGGTCACAGCCTCCAGCCACTCTCATCTCTAAACCAAACCTGTTTTTCATGGCTTACAGTGACTGGCTTCATGGCTTTAGAACATCCTGCATGTATTAAGAATAAATACTGCAAACTGTCTTACACATGTTTTCCAGTCGAAAACAGATTATTACATGACAGTGTATTCTGCTGTGTAACATGCTGCATTAGTGATTTCTGTGTAGTAAGATGACACAACTGTTAGACCTGAAGGTGCACAATTAATTTTAAATTTAACTCATGACTAGTTGAGGCACATCATCCACCTCAAGCATTGCATAATCAAACAGATGCACTTAGCTGGATATGTTAGACTACACGAAAGGTGGTGTGTCACTCTGCCACATTATAACTCAAGACAAAATTCAATCCATCTATCTATCTATCTGCCCCTGTGGGAGCTGAGATAACAATTCATGAAGCCGTGTAAAGGCTGAGTAGTTGACTGTAGGTTTATAAGCATGCTAACAGAGAAATACGGAATGCATGTTTAAAGTGTGTTTTTACTTGATATAAATCGATGTAGGTCTATAAAGGACAGATGCAAATTTATTTTTAAAAAATTTTAAAAAATAATTTAATTTAAAAAATTCATACAGCAGCAGAGCAGCCTAACCAATTGATCTGGAGTTTTGTATCAACTAGCAAATTAGAATATTATTGTCACTAAAGGAAGTCAAACTTGCCCTTTCTTCAGCACTTGTAGGTTTATTGTGCAGCAAGTCTTACATCACTGGAAGTGTGACAGATAGCCTGCCACTCACAGGGACATTGCCCCGACAGCCTTTCTTTGGGTAAAAGCCTGCCAAAATCAGTGTAATGCCAACACCTACTCTCTCTTCAGTTATAATGTTGATACTTTTCCAAATGCAAAGGTGTTGTCTGCTGAAGCCAGAGATGCAGGTGAATTCCAGCTTACATGATGACAGAAAGAGCCAAAGTTTTGATATTCGCACAGTAATTTCCAAGGAGTTTAAGGGCCAAAATCAACGGCATGATCCAGCTGTTGTGCAGTGCTCTAGGAATACAAAACAGCTGTAAGGATGACTGAGTTTTAATTAGAGCAGCGTGAAGTAGCCAGAACATACCAGTGATCTTGGCTGAAATACTGTGTGCTGTAAAGGAGTGCTTAGCGTTATCATTTTGGACATTCATCTGTATTTCTGATGGCATCGCAATGAAGAAGAAAAGTTTCTGACCAGTTGCATGAAACCATTTCAGTATGCAAATACCAAAATCCCCAAAGCTTGCCTATCTGTTGTTTCACCAGAGTTCCAAATTCTATTCTGGGGACACCACCGGTCTAACATTGGTGATAAATGACCTCTGCTGTCTGCCCTGGTCAAGTCTATATATCTTACAGCATTCCTGACCTGTTGAAGGGATTGTGTTCCCTGAAGAAATAGCTGGTATGATTTATAACGACTTTAGCATTTAATATTTAAATCTACTGTTGTTGGCTTTTGTGTTTTGTGGGGTTTTTTCCCCCCACCCCTCACCACACTGCATATTAAACTGGAAACAGTCTCCAGTCAAATAAGAAGTCTTTATATGATCAGTCACCTTGATTTCGACATTTATTGGCTACTTGTTTCAGTATGTGTTCACAGCATTGGTACTTGGCATGGGAACTCTTTAGCCTCTTTTGTTTCACTCATTTGTTAAGTTTTAAGCACAAAAGACAAATGCTATGATTATTTACTTGGGTCTGTATTGTTGTTCTGGGCATAGGTCCTTTGGTTTTCACAAGTTAGCAATCCACACAAGATTTTATGAAATAACCTTTATGTTAGTTTTACTGACATCAGGAGGAAATCTGTAAGGAATTTGCTGAGTAGGATGTCAAGAGAGGACAGGCTGCATACTGGTCCAAATCCTTCCCCTGTCAATGGCTATTTGTTCTCCCTATAGCTCTTGAAATGACAGGTTAGATTAGGCTCTGTTAATAGCGCTATTAGAATCAGATAATGCAAGTGTTCTTTGAGCTTAATGTGTAGTCCCTCCTGCTAATTGGACATGCTGGTTTTGGCTCTGTAATGCTTTCCTTTAAAATAACAACAACAATAATAATATTATAATATGCATAAACACAC